AGAATAATCAATCATGCTGACAAGTAAACATGTATTTTAACTAATGACCAAGTAGACTCAAGATGGCAATTTTAATTAAAGTGTCTTTTATTTGTTTTTTTGTTTTTAGGCTTTTAATAAATGGATTCTAAAAGAGAATGCGGTAATTTTGTTAATAGAAGGAAATGTGGTCTTGGCACCAAGCATTACAGTGTTTGAGCATTTCCTACCAAGGAAGTTGGATAATGATGTATTTTATATTACACAAAACAATGATGCATAACCTGGATGCACAAAAGCCGATTGTCCAAACTCATCCACGTTGCACTTTCTTTAAAGATACGCCCAAGAGGCAATGCTGTTAGTGAAATGTTAGAACATGACTGTCTGGCAGCTGACTCAGACAGGGCCATTTCCCGTAAATAATGACTCTGATAGACTGTATAAGGATGGATGGATGGAATATGAATGCTTGCCCAGGAGCATGAAAGTTTGCACGTAGTACCTCAGATAAGAGAAACAACTGTGGAAAGCTTCTTCCTGGTTTATTCTCAGCAGTAAATAATCAGACTCCACAATTCAGATGCTTGAGTGTTTTTTTGACTCATAAACTCTCGTGAATGAGACAGGAGGCATTTGAGGGCTTCTGAGATCTGAGGTATGATGTTATGCAGAGTGACCCTTGCACTCTGCATGTCTTACAACTATACAGTTTACTGTGGCTGAGACAAAATGAATTAGTTTCATAATTGATTAACTTTGCCACATTGACACAGTTATTAAACTGAACTAAAATAACACTGAACTAAATTGAGCTGAATAATGACACTGTACAGCTGAAATTGAATTTGTTTTCATAATTGTTGAATTTTACAACATTAAAACTGTTATTTTCCTGTTTATTAATGTGAATCTGTATTGTATAAAGCGCTATATACAGAACCTCACATATAATAAGTAAATGTCAGAAATAACAAAAATAAAACTTAAAATAGAATAGAAAAATAGAATCGTAAGTATTTGAAAGTGTTTTTGGCCATGCTGCGTACACAGACTGAGGGAAAAATCATCATCCACAATGCAAACCTGTAAAAGTGCAAAATTCAAAATACAAGGTAAAAAAAAAAAAGCAATGCGAAAATAATTATTTTATATTAATACACATTGTGCCCTATTTTTACAGATTTTTTTTTTCAGTGTTCATGTCATATACCAGAAGTCTGTGTTTGCATTGCTCTCTCCTCAGAATGCATTGAGGTCACCTGAATTCATATCACTGTGTATATAAATAATTAACAAGTGTTCCACATATTACATATTCAGGATATAAAAATTTTCATTTTAACCCAACTAACCAGTACAATTCAAAGCTTCTGTCATGCTTCTAGATGCTGTGGATCTCTGAATGCAAATGTAGAACCCAGGCACCAAGAAAAAAAAACAAAAAAAACATAAGCATAAATACACAATGCAGGCTATTTATTAAGTATGATGTCTAGTTCAAGGAACAGGACAACAGTGTTTGACAAGAATGTTACAGGAACTTCTAATAATAAAAATAGCTGTTGTAATTGATGCATTTCCCTGTGCACCTCACATCTCACTCCTACACAGCACAGCTTCAAAGTGAGCTTGTCTAAATAAATGGGTTAATTTTGACATGCTCCAGAAATGTTATACAGTGCATTATTCATTTGAACCTTAATCCAGACCTACTATAGCAAACAAAGAAAACATTCCTAAATACTTATGTATCTTCTGCAAACGAGAACATATCCAGATTTCTTTCTACTATCAGATGAAGTATTGTATTCTAAGAATAAAGCCTTACCCAGTGCCATTATCTTCATCAGTAAGCCTATCCTATTATCCTCTAAGAAAAGAGCATTTCGTAATCCTCACTGAAGAATGTGGTTAGTGTTGGATATTCCTATAAAAGGAGTGTGTTGGCTTTTTTAAATCTGTCTAACATGACAGGTTTTTACTTTCTAAATGACAGTGTGATACAAGTTTCTTACTTCTGCCAAACATTTGATCCTCCGGTATTCACACAAGGAGACCTCATGCTGAAATAGGACTGGTGCTTTAGTTCAGCAGAACAATAAATCGCTTTAAAACTTATGATGTCTGTGTTTGATAAAAAATGCAGTAAAAACAGTAATATTATGACATATTATTGCAATTTTAAACAACTGATTTCTATTTTTATAGATTTTAAAATGTGTTTCCCCCCCCCCCGTAATGGCAAATCTGAAGTTTCAGGTCAAACGGTCATTCAGAAATCATTATGCTGATCAATATGCTGATCTGACACACAACAAATATTTCTTATTAGAGTTGCTTAATATTTTTGTAGAAACTATGATATGTTGTTTTTTTTCAGGAGACTTTGATAAAACAAAAATTTTGAAAAAAGTTGAAACAACGGAAGTCTTTACTCTCACTTCTGATCAATTTAATACGTCCTTGCTGAATAAATAAATAAATTAATTAATTAATATTTTTATACATTTTTGCACTAATGCTGTTAAAAGATTTAGACAAAAAAAATTCTAAATATATGCAAAAAAAACCCCACAAAAGAACAACGGCAATAATACAAAAGTAGGGAAATTACTTTGGCTTTGACCTAATTTCATCCACAGCTAAAAATGGAGCAATAAAACGAAAAGCACAGCTCAAAACAGAACTGGGTTCAGTATGGGTTACAGCCAGGTAGGCTACTCTTGCTTGTTTGTTTGTCTGGAGCACAACCTCAATATTGCAGGAATTTCCATTATAGTTTTGATTGCAGTGGGATTTACAGCCTATGTACAGGCAGGGCCGTTGCTGCCCTGTTTTTTTTTTTTTGAGCAACTGGGTTGGTGCCCCCCTGGGAGATGGTGCCCTACGCAAACTGCGTACTCTGCGTATAAGGAGCGGCGGTACTGTGTACAGGACGGATGAAAACCAGGTTGACGGGAAAGAAAGCTATCCGAAACTCCTGAAGCCTATCTGCAGTCAACGGCCAACCGATGCAGAAGAGGCGAGATAGAAGAGGCGAGATTCACCTACCCAGTTAAATGAACACACTCTGGCTTCTGTGTGTTTGAGTTAGTGATGGACGCTAAAAAAGCTTCGATTTTCAGTAAACGAGGCTTCGTTACATCACAACTGTTTCGAAATGTTTCGAAATTTCAATGGTTCGACGCTGGAGGGCGATCTCTGTGGACCCATGAATCACCAGTGTCTTTATGGTTTACCTGATCTCGTATCAGTTTTATAAATTTGTAGACATTTTAACGAGACATTTGTCCAATTAAAATGAAGAGTAGTAGGCCTAGTTAAAAGTCTATTTTTGGCCTGTTTAGATAAGCCTCATAAAACAAATAAAACAAGCCCTGAAAATTGATAAAATAACACATATTATACTAACACTACCTATTTATTGGTATTTGATGATTTGTTAATTACACTCTATATTACACTTTTAATAAAACATTTGGAATGGGTTTGTGAAATCCGTTTTTATGCAGTTCAGTTCAGTTTTTTTTTTTTTTGCATTTTTTGTTGCATTTACGCAGTTATGACCAGCAGGGGTCACCAGCGTGTGGTGTTTCGAGCACTTCGAAACAGTGAATCATTTTTCTATTAAAGGTGGGGTAAGTGATTTCTGGTAGCCAATATTGACATTTGAAATCACCAAAACAAACACGCCCCTACCCCAAATTCTATTTATGATGTATTGACACACATTTCAAATGATTTTCAACGGTCGCTTTGCCGCGTCCAGTGTACTAGACGGACTTTGCGGCGCAGCCTCGGTGTTACTCCCCTATCGTGAAGAAACAAAGCAACCTCGGTGTCCGATCGCAGCCCTTCCGCTCCTTGAGTTCTCTCCAGCGCTGGAAAGCTGATCCGATATTTACACGGGTCCTACTTCTTGCCTTAAGCTTTCTTTTGTTCCGCAGACAGTTTTCTCTTTTGTTTTTTATCTGTTCTTTCTGTCACTCGGCTCGGACTGAACGCTCTCTCCTCCACATCACAAGTAGACACGCCCCTTACTGCTGATTGGCTACAAGTTTGTTTTGCTAGTCGGCCCGAATCAGTTTTCTAAAGCGTTTTTGAAAAATCGCTTACCCCACCTTTAATCAAATAAGGTATTCATAAAAAGAGTAATCTAACATCATACATTTATATTTTAAAAAGGCAATCTATTAAATTCTAGTCAATAGCCAATAATTTTAATAAATAAAAAAAACAAATAAGAAAACAAAAAGAATGACATAAGAAGCTACAAAATTCGATTGTATGGAAAGGGACAATATATATATATATATATATATATAGCTAATATGTGTGTGTGTTTATTTGTATCAAAGTAGGCAAATGTTTGAAATCCTACGTTTGAAATTCCAGTAGTTTACAGGTGAAGCGGTAGGGACTTTTATTTTGAATTATCCTTTATGATCCTGTAGCCAATGTTGACATTTGAAATCACCAAAACAAACACGCCCCTACCCCAAAAGGATCTCGCCCCTATTTTGATAGCTCCGCCCCGCACATACGTACACAACCCAGGCAACGAAAACAAAGTTTTCTGTGTGTTTTTTTTCACAGTGTTTTCTGTGAAACAAAGCAAAACCAATGTTACACCGTGTCTACACCGGCGTTTTTGAAAAATCGCTTACCCCACCTTTAATCAAATAAGGTATTCATAAAAAGAGTAATCTAACATCATACATTTATATTTTAAAAAGGCAATCTATTAAATTCTAGTCAATAGCCAATAATTTTAATAAATAAAAAAAACAAATAAGAAAACAAAAAGAATGACATAAGAAGCTACAAAATTCGATTGTATGGAAAGGGACAATATATATATATATATATATATATAGCTAATATGTGTGTGTGTTTATTTGTATCAAAGTAGGCAAATGTTTGAAATCCTACGTTTGAAATTCCAGTAGTTTACAGGTGAAGCGGTAGGGACTTTTATTTTGAATTATCCTTTATGATCCTTGTGTAGGTCACAGTCGTTAGCTTCACGCTTTGGTTTCACGTTGCTGCCTGCTGTGACATCTCGTGTCTGAGTATTTATTTGCTCTTAAATAATTGAGTTAACCTTGATTATACTTAATACTTGTGTTTTCATATTCTTACTGAAACATGAACGATGATTTGTCAAGTTAGCTGTAACGCCTGATCCGTCTTTCTAACCTTGACTAAATGCTCCAGTACTCTTACATTAATAGGAATATATAGCGTTTTAAGTATATGATGTTACGGAATATTTGTAGGTATCACAGACAGTTTGGTGAGGGCATTTGGCCATTTTCTTTTCCTCAAAGGCAGCATGTGCCTAGTTTATCAACACACCTACAAAAGGCAAGATATGCCAGTGCCACAACAGGTAAGATCATTACAGAAGAGTAATGTTATAGAAGGACAAATCTAATGTATTGATGTTTGATCTCTTGTTCTTTAAATCACATTTTGCAGAGAGAAAGAAGTTCTACGAGAATGTCTCGATATCTCCAGGTGAAGGTGAGCATCATTCAGTGTTGCAACACACATCTTCAACTTCAAAAAGAAACATGTATTGAACAAAAGAAAAAGTTATGTCTGTTTGAAAATAGGTTTTGTGTTGTCTACAGGGGGTTTGTATGAAATAAACCTTGACAAACGAAAGCTGAAGACTCCAGGTGGAAAGCTGTTCACAGTGTCCAATGAAGCTCTTGCCATAGCGGTTGCAACAGAGTGGGACGTTCAGAAGGACACGCTGAAGTTTTACACCATGCACTTAGTAGGCCATTAGTTAGAGTTCTTACATTGTGTATATTAACTGTGTTATCACCCAGCAGCATTTTTAAAGGTGGAAATAGATGCATCCAACATTATCTGCATACATGCAGCAAGCGATGCCTACCATATCTCAAATCTTAACTGTTTAATTGCTCATCCAGCTCTAATCTGCTCAATGTGACTATAAGGTATTAAGATATTATAAACATTAACATCCTGATTTTATGTAAAGCCTTATGTATAAAAACATGATTTGACTCAAATTGTACATATGCTAATATGACTTATTTCTGTCCATGCAGACCACCCTTTGCAACACAGCACTTGATAACCCAACGCAAAGGACGAAGGACCAAATGATCTCAGCTGCTCTAAAGTTTTTGGAGACTGACACAATCTGGTATTTTGAGGTTCACTTGATGGCATTTAATTAATTAAACCAAGATTTATATAACATTATCTTGTAATGGCAGTAAAGGTGAATGGTATTACATTTCCTAAATACATCTATTTATTGTGTGTTTTCATTAAATCAGATACCTTTGTTGTAGTTACAGAGTAGAAGAGCCTCCAGGTCTTGTAGAACTTCAGAGAAATGAATGGGACCCTGTAATGAACTGGATAGAACAAAGGTAATTTTGGCTAGATTATTTACACTTTTTAGCTAGATTATGTAATAGCCACAATATATAGCCATAAAAAATGAATGACGTATATGAACATCTTGTGATTTTTAGGTACAATGTAGTAATTGGCTCGTCCACCAGTATAATGGGCCCTCAAATCCCAGAGGAGACTAAGGAGACATTTCGTCAACACCTTAATTCCTACAATTTTTGGTCTCTGACAGGTAAAGATACTGTGGTGCTTTTGCATCTTATGTAAATTGACATTTTACATAAGATTTTGCATCTTATGTGAAGAGGCCTGTTTGAACAGTGCAGGTTTTTTGTTTCTGCAGGGCTTGAGTATGTGATCACTCAGCTGAAATCATTGGTCTTGTCCTTTGGGCTGATTGACAGACACCTAAGCGTGGAACAAGCGGTTCTTCTGTCCAGACTTGAGGAAGAATACCAGGTTTGGTAGCTTTTAGTTTGTTCCAGCTGTTTAGTACTTACTGCTTTTTGCCCATATTAATAATTACTGTTCTTCATGTTCTGTTCTGTCTTAGATCCAGCAATGGGGAAATGTGGAATGGGTCCATGATTATGACCTGTACGAGCTGCGAGCACGAACAGCTGCTGGTGCAATGTTTGTGCATCTGTCTTCTGAAAGCACAGCTGTCAAGAGAAAAATTTTACAGGACTGATAAGGCCAAAAAGGCACTGTTTGAGACTGAAAAAAATTGATTTTTGTTATCTCTGTGCTGTTTTCCTTTTACAGTAAGCTGCAGTGACACCAGTTACCTAACCGGTAAAATGCTGTTGCTGTCTAGTTATGTTTTGAGCAATAATATAGATGTCTAAGGTCATGATATGTATTATTAGTTTCAACAGCTGCCAAATGGAAAGACTCTACATACAAAATCCCAGTATTTTAATGTCAATGTGAAACTGTTTAGCTAATATGTTGGAAACCAAAATTACATTTTGATATGTAATCATGTGCACATGTCTGACTGAGGCATCTCATTTATTTTTACTAACCCAGTCTCATGTTTTTCTAAGCAGTTCCCTTAAGGTCAAAGTCACACATTAAAAAACATATATGTTTTTAAGTGCATAGTACGAAAGGGAAATCTGCTACATAACCATTAGTAATATATATCAAACCCGCGGTAAAAAGCAAAGTCAGTGGAATCACTGCTGACCCTTTAATTAGCTGGCGTGTCATTTCAATAACTGACTGCAGGTTCGGCCAATAGCTTTGCTGCCCTCAATCACGCGACCAATGGGAGTCGTCCATGGGCAGGGCTTGAGTGTTTACTGTCTCATTGACTGTTAGTCGTTGAGTATGTTGACAAGATGGAGTTCTTGCTGGGAAACCCATATAGTACTCCGGTGGGACAGTGCATTGGTATGTTTTTTAAGAAATGAAATGATGCTTAAAAATTGTTTAGTAACAAGTCAACGCATAAAGCGATGCATTTAGCTAAGCCGCTGTGTAGAAACTCAACATATGGATAGCCTATCAGTTAGCTGGCTAACAGCTAACATAATGCTCATTCATGCTAGCTGATCTAATTTACAGTTACCTTTCAATATGTGCGTCTTAAAATAGAAATTTACTAAATTAATTCAATGACTGATTAAAGGGAGGCGAAGCGCTTTTAAGTAAGCTGAAATACTATCACTTACCAGCTGGTATTAGCCTGCTAGCCAGTGGACACTGCGTTTATCTCTCACACCCAGTTTCATAACAAAAGCTTGAGGTAATGTGTGTAAATGATTCATACTATTGATCAACTCCTATAAATGGACTCCGTGTAAGGAAACTGACGGCTTGCTTTGGAAGATAACCAGCATGCAAGCACATACTGCGCAGTAGTTTGCAGTTCAGTGTAATGTCATCAGTGCCGATGTTATATCAGATTTTCTTATTAGTGAAAGGCAGTAATCGATTATCTTATCAGTTTGTTTTTTGATCTTTCCCAGAAAGGGCCACAGATGGCTCACTACAAAGTGAAGACTGGACCTTGAATATGGAAATATGTGACATAATCAATGAAACAGAAGATGGGTGAGACATGAAAGATGCATGATTTATAGCATTTAACAGGTTGAATAAAGTTACCTCTGTTTTGACATATTCCATCAACCTTAGGAAACCTACAAACATTGTACAAATCCAGAAGATGCTGTCATTGTTATAGTTGCACATTTAATTTATGGCTGAATGATCATGTCATTCTGTGGCCATTCAAATCCATCACAAGTTCAGGGCCTTACATAAATTGTATAGTCATCACAATGTGTTATTTATGGAACCTGGCAATGCTTGCTTGAGGAAGATGATTCATTCTCTTGACCTTGTCAACTTAACTTCATAATAGATTGCTTTTTTGCAGCATGGATGTGTTTAGTTATTTATCTGATTTATAGGCCTAAGGATGCTATAAGAGCTGTTAAGAAGAAGCTTAATGGGAATAAAAACTACAGGGAGGTGATGCTTACGCTGACGGTGAGAGGCGTGCAATGGGAACAATTCTCTTTGCAGTCTTACTTGCATCTAATAATTCATTTTTTTTAGATTGTCCTGTACATTTTGATTTTCCATAATGTGTTCAGGTTCTTGAGACATGTGTAAAGAACTGTGGGTACCGGTTCCATGCGCTCGTCACGACCCGGGACTTCATTGATGGCGTTTTAGTGAAAATCATATCTCCTAAAAATAACCCACCTGCCATAGTGCAGGACAAAGTACTAGCTTTGATACAGGTATGGACTGGATGTTTTGATTGTTCATTAAGGAAATATTGTTGTTTTGGGGTTTAAACGCAACATGAGGAAAGGACATTTATGACATGAGGCATTTCAAAAAGAAGGGCATGATAGAGAGGGTGAGGAGGTGCATCATGAGGCGGGTTACCTGATGCTCTGTAGTCACGGAGATCCGGCTATTTCGTTGGCACTGAAGCTATGCTCATTACAACCTAGTGGATCAGGTTACTAGGTTTGGCTCAGATGACCAAGGGTGACTTCAATTTGCTTGGTCTTGCATCTAATGTGATGCTAGAAATTTCTCATTATGAAATTATTAACATGTCTAGAATGGCTTTGTCCAAAGAGAACTAGGCAAGTAAAGTCTGTGCTTTGCATTTTTGTTTGACATTCAAACAACATTATTTAAAACAGTCACCTGATTGTAGTACCAACACTACCTTTTAAAAGTCAAAATGTGTCTTGAGCATCCAAGCAGTGTTTTAAAATGATACATTATGTAATAGCTGTTAAAAAAAGAGCTTTGCCATCACAGGTAGAAATTACATTTTAAAATATATGAACATAGAAACAGTTAATTTATTTTGTAATAATATTTCTCAATATTAATGTTTTACTGTATTTTTGATTAAATAAATGCAGCTTTGGTGAGAGACGTCTTTCAAATTATCATAAAAAATCTTGCAACTCAAACCCTAATGTTGTTGCAAGCCTCTACGAATTTCTTTATTCTGTTAAACACAAAGGAAGATATTTGGGGTACATTTTTCGAAATTGAGGGTCAATTTTTCTAAATTGAGATTTATAAATCATCTGAAAGCTAAATAAATAAGCTTTCTATTGATGTATGTATGGTTTGTTAGGATAGGCCAATATTTGGGCAAGATACAACTGTTTGAATATCTGGAATCTGAAGGTGCAAAAAAATCTAAATATTGAGAAAATCGCCTTTAAAGCTGTCTAAGTGAAGTCCTTAGCAATGCATGTTACGAATCAAAAATTAAGTTTTAATATATTTACAGTAGGAAATTTATAAAATATCGTCATGGAACACGATCTTTACTTCATATCCTACTATAATATCCTAATTTTTGGCTATTGCTGCTACAAATATACCCGTGCTACTTAAGACTGGTTTTGTGGTCCAGGGTCACATTTTAAAGAATGTGGGTAGCCTATGTGGGTTGTATTTTTTTTCCCCATACTATGAAAGTCAGTAGCGACTATTTTTTTAATCCATATTATTCAAAGTAATATCTTTTGTGTTAAGAAATATGACAGATTTTTCATTTTTGGGTGAACTATCCCTTGAACAAGGTTTTAAATGTTGAAGTAGAGAAGATCTAGTGTACTGCAGTTATCAACTATATTAATAGCTATTCTAATGCATTTTAAATTACAAGATTTCAAAGCATACATGAAGTTTGCATGTACTCTATACACCAGGCGTGGGCAGATGCCTTCAGAAGTAGTCCAGATTTGACTGGAGTAGTCCACGTCTACGAAGAAATGAAGAGGAAGGGTATAGAGTTTCCTCGATCTGACTTGGAGACCTTGTCCCCCATTCACACACCACAACGGGTAGGTGTTGACGTCAGATATGTTATAATTTGTTTATCACACAGGTTATGGCAGCTCCCATTAAAATATTATGCCCCTTATCATTTACTTAACTTTATCGTTTTACCTTCCCTCTTTATCTCTGCACTTTCGTTCATTGTCTTGCTCTGTTGATAATAGCAGCAAAGTGCTCCAGAGTTGGACCAGCAGAAATATAACGACCCAGTCCAGCCCAAGCCACAGCCTCACCCTGCCTCCGCTCCTCCTTTCTCTGCCCCTGTGACCCACACTTCCCCACAGATGCCCAATCTGCACATGTCTGGGCCCATCAACCCTTCCCCTGAACAGGTAATCCTTCCTTCATTCTTTTAAATGGGATAGATCAACATTTGTTTTAATAGATTGCATAATGATTTAATAAAATATCATTGATTAGATTTGCAAGCTGCGCAGTGAGCTCGATATTGTGCGCGGGAACACTAAGGTGATGTCAGAGATGTTGACCGAGATGGTTCCTGGTCAAGAGGATCCATCTGATCATGAGCTTCTGCAGGTTTCTCATTCAGATTTTTTTTACTTTGCTTGAAAGAGCTACTGAAGGCCACTAGAGGGAGTGTTGGTGCAGCATTATGTTGACCGTTTTTATTATTCAGTGTTACATGGTTTGCTTCCTTTGTTTAAAGGAGTTAAACAGAACATGCAGGGCCATGCAGCAGAGGATAGTTGAGCTCATCTCACGTGTGTCCAATGAGGAAGTCACAGAGGAGCTCCTGCATGTCAACGATGACCTCAACAACATCTTTCTACGATATGAGAGGTGTGATCAAGAACAGTGAATTGACCTTTCCTTTAAAGAGATATTCATCAAAAAAATGAAAATTCTTTCACATTTTCTTACCCTTATGTTAATCTTTGAAACACAATTTAAGATAATTTTTAATGAAACCTGAGAGGTTTCTGGCCTTCCATTGGAAAACTTACAAGAAGTCCTGAAAGGTTATTAGTGGTCGACCGATATCGGTTTTTTGACAGCCGATATCTTGGAAACCAGGGTTGTTGATATAAAGCCGATATAATTTTATTTATTTTAATTAATATTTAAGAAAATTGAAATCATTTGAAAATGGATTAAAAAATAAATGTGTAAAATAAACATACATATACTTTAGATCAGTGTTTCCCAACCGGGGTGCCGTGTAAAAAATCCTTTTTTAATATTTTTAAATTGCTAAAATGTTCAAAAAAGCATATATTATATAATATCCATTTCTGATGTCGCCAATAATTAGAGATGCACCGAAATTTCGGCTGCCGAAAATTAGTTCACCGCTCAGGTTTCACTTTCACGTGGTGTGACGCTCTGCGTATTATCCCGCTCTATGCGTGTGTGCTCCGCTCAGTCGCTCCACTCGTATACCGTTCATGCTCATCGGAACAGCAAAGTCCACTCAAAAATAGCCGACAGCAAACATCGATGTAGTACAGTATTGTTTCAGTCTGCAATAGCCCTACTGTGTTGTAACATGATGTG